ATTAAAAATAAAAAAAAAATTTGAATTTATGTGTAATATTATTTTAATGAAAAATATGATTTAAATAATGTCAAATTATTGTTAAAAAATGTATTTTAATGAGAATAATAAAGCTCAAAAAAGGGCACAGTTTTAAAAAGAATCTATCCAACAAATAATTCATCTGACAGGCTGGACATTAATTATAGCAATTAGCAGCCTGCGCCTATAAAATTCCAACAATTTTTCTGTGCTTTGTCCTTTGTTTAATTTAAAAATTAATAACAATCCAATCTTTCCCAGGTACAAGTTCTGTGTGTTGTGAAATCCATTTTGATGAGTTAAATTTTTGTTTTAACTTAAGAATTTTTTGTGGGTTTTGTGATGTTATGTGTGTTCATGTGGATCTTGAATTTATTATTATTATTTTTTTTGGAATCGTAGGAACCTTTAATGGCTTCAAAGCGAATCTTGAAGGAGCTTAAGGATCTTCAGAAGGATCCTCCTACCTCCTGCAGCGCTGGTATAACTACAACATTCAGGGAAAAAGAAAAAAACATACATTTTTTATATGTTTTTGTAAATGGGTTTTTATATATGAAAAAAGCTATTTTCTTTTGATTTGATTATCGAGAATTCCTCAAAACCTGGTAAACAAGATTTTTGTTTTCTGATTTTGTCTTATCCTTTTTCTGTTAATTTTTTGTTGGGGGGCGGGGGGGTGGCTTTTTATGGATAATTGTTTTGACTTTTTAGTCATCGTATTCAACTAATCCATTGTTTACACTTGAGTGCTGTAATTTTTGACTGCTTTAGGCAGCTGTATATATCTATATATATTATAATAACCAGGGTCCTTTGTTAATTTTCTTTTTAATTATGGATTTACTTAATCGTTGTATTGGCAGGGGATATTTATATTAAAGCAAATGCTGAAGAGATCTTTTTTTAAGCTGAAAACATGAATGTAAATTTAGATATAGAATCTATTTATGGGTATCATCCTTTGAGATAGTTACACGTTTGAACTAATATAGCCACTGAGAAGACATAGTTTTTGGGGAAAAAAAAAATGAAGGTAAGAAATTCTTGATATACAACTCCACACAAAGTTTTGTTATGCCTACTGTAAACCGTCACATGAATTTCTGCAATCGAGTGTTCATCTCGACCTGGTTAATTTCATTTGATTAGAGCAGAAATATGTATGATGGAAAAAGGTCAGAGCGGCAATTGTGTGGTGAACAATCTTATTGAAAATTACATTTTTTAATTTCAACTGGTGAACAGTCTTATTGAAAATTATATTTTTTTTATTCCAGTTTTTCCTATCTTCATTCTGTATTTTGTTATTTACATATTCCTTCTAATTTGAAACCACGTACAAATGATTCATTTTTGGGAAATATGGTCTTTTTCACGAATATGATTTACCTTTTCGTATGGGGCTTAGTTTTGGAATGCAACTCTACGTTAAACTTTGCTTGACTCGCGTGCTTTCCTGCATTGCTTGTATTTCAGGTCCTGTTGCTGAGGACATGTTTCACTGGCAAGCTACAATCATGGGCCCTCCAGATAGTCCTTACACCGGTGGTGTTTTTCTAGTGACTATCCATTTTCCTCCGGATTACCCGTTCAAGCCGCCTAAGGTGTGTGATGTATTCTAAATGCATGTTTGATGTTCATTACACGATAATGTACAGGATTAAAACATCATTTTGTTCTTAATACTATCTGATACAATTTTACTCTTTCATTCGATTTTACGTTCTTTTGCTGTTTGAGAAATAAAAAGTTAAAAAAAAAAGTATTGCGTCGGAGTTCTAAAACTCTGTGGCTTTTTCAGTGTACAATCATTTCACTTTGCACTTGCAATGATTCAATTTCTCAAGATCTCTGCTGCGGCATATATAGGAATGGAATTTGGCATTTCTCACACTTTTATCTTAATGAATTTTGCAGGTTGCTTTTAGAACAAAAGTTTTCCACCCGAATATAAACAGCAACGGAAGCATATGCCTTGACATTTTGAAGGAGCAGTGGAGCCCCGCCTTAACTATTTCCAAGGTTTGTTGCATCTGTGGCAAATCCCTCTCTTCTAGATCAGAATTCACTCTTGTTTTACTAAAAACACTATAATCCTAGAGTGGTGAAGTCCTTGGAACATTCAAAATATCGCCTATTATTATCCAATTCCAACTGAATAAGGCTATACGACTACTGCCCTACTGATAATTAGCTTCTTTTTGGGTTTCATTTTTTATTTTTTGCTAAAAAGTTACTTTTCAAAGTTATCATTAATTTTAACCACACATTTTGTAGGACTCACAAGTACTATTCACTTATCCACCAGTTATTTCTTGCGAAGTAAATTTTTAGTAAAATAAAGTGAAATCCCTAAAGTGCTTTGATCCAATAGACCATTGGGGTTGATTTTTTATGTTGACACGAGTAATTTGTTCTTTATCTAAGTGTTCCGTCCACCATCCTACCAAACAAGCTATCAGTGTACACAGTGTTCAGTGTTCTTTTATTTGCACAACTTGATATTGACGGACACTGTGCTTGAATGGACAGAGTGCTAAAATGTTTGTGTTTTTGGTTTCCTATTTCAGGTGCTGCTTTCAATTTGTTCTTTGCTGACGGACCCAAACCCTGACGACCCTTTGGTGCCCGAGATTGCTCACATGTACAAGATAGACAGGAGCAAGTACGAGACCACTGCTAGGAGCTGGACTCAGAAGTACGCCATGGGTTAGCCGTGTTTTGGTTTGTACAAGGGACAACTTTTTTTTCTTCCAAAGTTTGTATGAATTCATTTGTCTGTCATTTAAGTCCTTGGACTAAACAGATGTCCAAACTTTGCCTTGGGGAAATGGAAAATTGCCTGGTAATCGGTTTGGACATGCTGATAGTATTTGCTTCGCAATTGGTATTAGAGACAATCTTGATACTACAAAAAATTTCAATTTTGCCAGCCAAAGTTTTTGTCTTGAAGAGTGTGAGATGAACATTTTTCAACTTTCATGACAAAAATTGCATTGTTAAAAAGTAAAATTTCTTATAGTTTCATTCTTAAGAACTTCGGTGCTCCTTGGAATTAATGCTTCGCGTGATTTTTACATACCCTCTTCTCTCAGGAACAGTTCAACTGCTATCCAAAATCTCTCAAACTTTGCCTCTTTCTCTGGGCAAGGTTTTTTTTTTTTTTTGGGATTTTAGAACTTGGTGTTTGTAATCATTTTAAAAAGAATCCTTTGTTTGTACCAGGGAAGGTGCTCACTAACCTTAGTGAATAGTAATTATAGGGCGTGTTTTGTAGGTTTCATTGATTTAGAGGTTTTGTCTCTATGGTTCTTGGTGAACTCTAAATTGTAACCTTCGTTGCCACTTTAGTTGATTCATAGTGCTCGGGATAGGCTTCGGCTTAACAGTCTACCTTAGGGCGAAGCATATATGTTTTCAATTTACACTTTTCTGCATTTTGTTACTCTGTTTATAGTTGAATGTTTGCTAAAGTGATTAAGCCCCCATTTGATAGTGCTTTTTTCATTTAAAAAAATTGATTTTTTGACCGTTATTTTATTATTTCAACCATCATATTTAACTTCCTCATTCACAAGCGACCTCCACTTTTCTCCCTAACGGTCAAAAAATCAATTCTCAACCCTAAATCTTTAATTCTTAGGCATTTCGGTGGTATCATAGCTCTTGGAATGAAAATGTATATGTTTGAATAGACTGAATCTGACAAGTCCCGAGTCAAAACCCACCGATCTGATGAGATATACCATATTTTTCCTATGATTTTCGTGATATTTCAACCTATGGTGACATTCTGGTATTAGTCTTTATCCAAAGACTCGTACGAGGCCTCGAGAATATGAGAATAATCAAGAAGGGGTTGAGATTCTAAAGTTCCCTTGGAGGCTGTAGAGAAATGTTATTGAACTTTGGTTGAATAATTTATCTACAGGCTCTTTGTTTTGAAACTTTCACAATCTTGGGGGTACATAGAAAAATAATGAAATAGAATAGACTAATGGAAAATTTATATAATTTATTTAATCAATTGTCGTTCTCTTCTAATTTGTCGAGTCCTTCAGTAAAGTAAGTGTGTATATATATATATATTTGGCCAAAGCTATATTATATAATTTAACGAATAGATGAACTGAAATTATTTTTAATTCCACTACGAGTAACATGCGAACGGAAATTTAGAATGATGAAAAATCATGAAGAATAGACGTTAATTATTAGCTTTTGTTTGACTCTCATTTTGTGGAAATGAAAATGAGTGGAATATTATTTTTCTGAAAAATGAGTGGTTGAAAAAGAAGAAATTTTTTTCGATTTACGTATAATATTATTTTATGAAAGGCTGTATGATTGAAAATAGGAGAGAGAAAAATAAAATGTAATGGAATGAAAATTAATGGGGAACAATCTAAAAATAATTAATTTGTTGTTCTTATCACAACACAAATATGATCGAACAAAGTTATTTATAATGAAGATTACTGTAAGTTTTATTACGTGACATATTCATGACAATTATTATTTAATGGATGAGAGAAAAAAAAATTATCATTTTAATGCATCAAATAATTAATTATTATGTTTATGCTACGTAAGTCGAGTGTCAATGATCTTAATCTGCTATTAAAATTTTGGTCAAACAAGTGAGCTGTTAAAATTTGATCGAATAATTATTTCTTTTTACCTGGGCCGAGCATCCTGGGCCTCACGTGATCGACCACACGTTAATCGAGATGGAAAATTATGCATTGATTTAGCACCACTTGATCTTTGTTCAGTGGACCAGCTTTCATGACTGGGCCCACGTAGTATAACCTATACCTACTAATAAAATGCGGCGATCCGTGGTTGGAATTGAAGGCCCACCGCCGACGGCCGGTGACTACCCCCAAAGATCTTTCCACCTTGGCACTGAGATATTTGAAACTTTAATCCAATATTTTCTTTGAATTCTATGTAAATTGCATCTTTGGTCCATAATAATTGACGTTGGTTGGAATTTCATCCTTATCATTATTTGATAGCATGGTTCCCAACTTATAAATTCTGATGCAGGTAGAATGATATGTAAAAATCACCAAATTGTTTTCTATGGAAAATATCAGTTTTTCACTCAAATTCCTTCTTTGAAGTGTTTGATTGCTATTTTTTTTCATTGAAAACATTTTTCAACTTTTGAAAATATGCATAATTTTCTTTGTTTTTAAGAAAAATATTTTCTTTGGAGGAGTAGGTTTTATTTTTATCAAAACAAGAAATACATTTTTTTTCTAGGTGATAATTTTCATGTCAATCAATTACACTCAGTTAGACAAATCTGAATTATCTTTCTATAATTGTCGATTGAGTGGCATACTCGTCAATTATATGGTTTTGAACCAAGCAAACCATAATAAAAAAGTTTGGAACCCTTTTAAAATGTTTAAAAACTAAAAAAATGAAACTAAAAAACTTGATTTCAGTCCAATTAGACATGAGTCGCACTTCTAAATATCAGTTTTAACCTCCAATTGCACGTAACCTATTAATATGAAATACTAAATATCTACATTTTGGGCTAGATTGCTAACTAGTACACGAATTTAATAGAATTAAGCTTGAGTCACTCGACTAATTGCTTTTCACTTCATACCTCCACCGGATCGCATTATTGTTGCAAACACAAAATGACACATAAATTGAAAGCTCGAGAGTAAAAGCAATATCTATACTGCTAATCAATTGCTCACTCAATTCAACTCGATTAACTTTGACTGCTCAACTTTTATTTTGTTTCAATTTAACTATTTAGTTTATCACTATAGCCCCTGTATGATGGCCAATATTGAGGAAAAATATGCTTTGAACAATGATTTTTCGAAAAATGTGTTATTAAAAAGTTAGAAAAAGTTGAGTTTAGGTACAAAATATTTTATTATGTGAATATGTGATTGAAAATAAGTATGATAATTAAATAATTTTATTTTAAGAGAAGACAAACAAGGGCATAATGAAAACGGTGAGAATCCTGACCAATTCAATGCAAGTCATGATTTAACCAATTAAATGTCATTGGTAATATTGAACACACAATTAGTACTTGTTTCGTACAGATTTTAAGTTAATTAAAATCAATTTTTTGACAGTTATTTCATTATTCTAATCGTCATTTTTGAATTCTTCTTTCACGAGTAGAATCGACTTTATCTCTAATGGTCAAAAAATCAATTATCAAAATTCCTATCAAACAAGCACTTAAACATAAGAGGTATGGTGTTTAACAGTACAATATCTTGGTGCCCAATGTACAGGTCAAACAAAATAAATTGAAGTTGAATGTCTAACATGAAATGAATTTATAAGTTAGGTAGCCTCCAGTGAACTTTTTCCACAAAAAGAACCATATATTCTTATTTTTAGTAAAAATAAATATAAAGAAAATTTCAAGGGATCCCACCCACACAAAGAGTAAAGACTTCCCCACACTGATACTGTGATATTCAAGAATCTAATTTAAGATATCTGATAATTTCTTACCAAAACCCAAAAAGGGAAAATAATAAATAAAAAAACAGATGCCCCGTTTTTCTATTTCTTAAACACACACCGTATAAACAAGCAGTAAGCAGTTTTTGCCCCCAGGGCACATCTCCAAGTGGTAAAAAGGGAGGGTGGAGAAATTCAGCTTTGCTTGAGACTGCTGCGTCAAGGGTTCGAATCCTGAAATATGGATTTGGCTTTTGGGTAAGTGCAAGTGTACAAGCAGCCTTCCACCTTGTACCCTTGGAGGCATAACCTGCGATTTACCTTCCTCACGATACTCCAAGGTAGAGGTGGTGGGGGACCCTTAAGGTTAGGGTTTAACCTTTTTTTTTTTTAAAGCAGTAAGCAGTTTTCTTTCCTTTTTGCAATCTTTCATTCCTTTCGTAGTGAATGAGTGTCCACGCCCCCCCCACCCCCGGCCTTGAATCCCTTCTTTTAACATTGTTCTTCTTTTCGTCAGAAAAATGCATCAAAGAGACCTTTAAAACCGGCACCGGGGACTTGTTTTCAAACTCATAAAGCAGGCTTTTTACGAGTGGATGGCTTCTGTTCAATGCGAATAGAAGAAGAAATCTCAAGTCAGTAGCCCCGGAGTTTGAATCTTGATTATGTCAATGAATAACAGCATGTTATGGCCGGTGAAATTCACCGAGCACAGAATTATTACCAAAAAACTCACTAAAACCTCGAATCTAAACCCCGAAAATTCGTCCCGAAACCCGCAGAAATCTAACGTCCACAGAAATATTCGGGTAACGGTAACTGACCCGGATGCAACAGATTCATCCGGCGACGAAGAAGATGAGGTTTTTGGAAGGCAGCGTGTTAAGAAATACATTCAAGAAATCAGGATCGAAAAAGCAAGCAAAACCCATGTCAATGGCATTAGCAGTAAGCTTCAGGCCAAGCAGAAGCCACTGAAGGTGAAGGCGGCTGATGGAGGTGCTAGGAAGTTCAGGGGCGTCCGGCAGCGGCCGTGGGGCAAATGGGCAGCCGAGATAAGGGACCCGGCCAGAAAAGTCCGGCTTTGGTTGGGTACTTATGACACTGCTGAAGAAGCTGCTATGGTGTATGACAACGCTGCGATTAAACTCCGGGGACCGGACGCTTTAACCAACTTCACAAATCCAGCGGCCGTAGAGGAGAAGCCGGAGAATACTGTGACTTCAGTTTCCAGCTACGAGTCTGATAAAGAGTTACATAAAATTTCTTCTCCGACCTCCGTTCTTCGGTTCACAAGTACTCAATCTAGCGAACAATCTGCCTCCGACGAGTGCCCAGTTCTCGATTCACTGGATGTACAGAATCAACAGAGTTACGAATCCGGATCCTGCAGTGACCCGGTTCAGGACCTTGAAGAACTTCACGGCGATACAAGTATAATACCAGACAGTTCTAACGACTATTTGCCAATGGACACTCAATTTTTGGATAATTTCTTCAATTTCCAAACTCCAGACCAGACATTTTTCGACTTTCCCAATGATTTTGAAAGTATTAATGAAATTCCGGCTTATGATGACAACAGCTTTGGATTCACTAGTTTTGGGGATTTTAAGGATTCATTCAAAGAAATCGACGATTACTTCAACGATTTGGGAGACTTTCCTTTTGCAGATGCATTAACGGCACAGTGATAAATCAGTCACGTTCTTACATCGCCGCTTGCCGTTTCTTATGGCAAATTTTGTTCTCCGGCGAACGGATAGTATTATCTTTTTTTGTATGTGTTAATGTTCGAGTAAATTAAGGAGTTTTTGTTCCCTCTTTTTTTGTGTCTGTAGTATCTCCATTAAAGTAAATGGAAATTGAGTTTTGCTTAATTTACATATATTTCTTGTAATAAGTTGGTCATTTTTTAAGAAGATTTCGGTTTTTGTCTCATTTCTATTGCTTTACACAATTCAATTACATCTATTAGAAGATAAAAAACATATAAAATCCTCGCTAGCGGTGATAGTTTTGAGTTATCCCACCGCCTAAGTTGCCTCTTTTCTTAAATATAAATCTTCAATTTGTATCATCGTTATTTATTGATATATGTATGGATTATCGGTAATATGTCTTAGCGTTCTTATTTCATGTATTTTTTTAATATTTGATTTTCTACAGTGGATCATACAGCGTTTAATCTTGATTTAATTTAAATAAATTTTATGGTTGAATTAATTTGTGTGAATCTTTTTTATGGATCTCATGCTGCCAGAGTGGAATTCTTTCTGATGTTGTCCATTGACTAAAAATCGAATTGGGTGGTTATTGTTGTTGGAATTAAATTAAAAAAATCTTTTTCTTTAATTCAAAAGAGAATTGTACACATTGAAATTGAACATTATGGTCTGTGCATTTGATGTTCTGTAGGCTTGTGACAAAAATTCAATGCTTATGGCGGCAATAATACAAAGCTACAGAGGAAAATTTAAGGTTGATAAAAATATAGAATGGGTTCCATTAATGAGTTTGGACAAGGCATTATTTGTCTTGCCGTCATCAATTATACATTTGCATTATAATGGTAAAACGTTAGCTTCTTATAAAATTAATACGACTTCCGTAATTGAAATGATAGTATAGAACGAAGTAGTTAAAAGACTAAATGTAGTTATAGATCATATCGATGCCAGTTTTTTGAAAGGAAAAAAAAATACTAATTTATTTCCATTTGTCGATATTTTGGATTGAATAGGTCTTTGGATGGATCGTGATAATAATAATAATAATGAGTTAGTATATGAAAATGCTCCATGATAATAGTAATAAACTACTTATTAAGAAAGAAAGAAAAAGTTCACAAGTTTTATTTTATCTTTGCATAGTGTTGTTATCTAGTTTTACGTCATG